GTTCCTTCATGAATGCCCTAGCATTTACTAGATATATGTTTGTCTGGTATATATAAAAGACGCTCACAACGTGAGAACAATGTGTGTAGGTAGTGAGTAATTGAACTGCAGTCAGCGAGTATTGTTGAAGTTTGTTATAGCGTTTGATTTAGCGCGAATGTTGAAATCAAGTGTATCGTAAAGTTATATTCAGAAAGAATAAACCAGTTTTATTAAGTAAGGACTTGTGTCGCTAAAGTTTCGTCGGAACGAAGTTACGGAAAGTTAATTAACAAACAGAGACGTAACAATATATTATGTATTATATTTGCAACTTTTCCAACACAAGCCATTTTAAAAGAGTTGTTGGTACACATTTACTTCCTTAACTAAAGCTCCAATTCTGACCTAGCCTGTCCAAATGTTTTCTGTTAAATTGTTCTATCAGGCAGATGAAATCTTTACTACCATTTTAATAATTTAAACATCCATAAAGTCTCGAAATAATCTCAATGTACTGACAATTTATTTATGAATATTCTTTGCCTGTTCTTGAAATATACAACATGTATGAACTGCTTACCTCGATTAGTATCAAGAGCTCTGCAGCCCACAGGAAAAGCTGGAGTGACTGGACGATCTCCAATTCTTGTGGGACTTCCTGGAGGGCTGGAGCTGACCACTGAGTGTGATGAGGTATAAGGACCATTGTTATTTGCAGCCTACAAAATATAGCACAGAAGTGATAGATATACATATTTTCCTCTAAAAAAATTAAGATTATTGGGAACATATTAGATTCAAACTAGATAAATATTACAGAGCTGGTAACACACTTTAGTATATATGAAATAGAAATAAGATAAATATCTTTTATATAGACTGAAGCTCACATTACTGTGGATAAATTGAAAGTTAGATACACGTATGTAGAAAGAGCTAGAAACACACCTAACCATGGTAAACTGGAATTAGGATACGTAGGTATATATTCTTTGGGTAAAGGTTTAGGTACTATAGTTTTCTCAAGAAGATTTGTATGTTGGGATCAACCTGTGGATGATTTTGAGCAATGTTCTGGTCTCCATGAGTATAGAAACTGAAAAACTGTTCATAAGTTAATGTCCATTCCTACCTGCTTAACACACATATATAGCTATAACAATATGCATTATTAGTGATAAACATGGATAGAAACATACATAAGTAGTTACACATTTTACAAGGTATAAACTGGCATTCAAAGACACATTTCTATTGCTTGTAACTTACTTTACTAGGAGTAGAATGCGAGTAACATGGGTATGTCTGAGGAGTCTGGGTTGGATTGTAAGAACACATGGCCTGAAGTGATTGCTCTAATTCTTCCAGCTTGGAAATGGAACCTGCACAGAATGTAAAAACAACAATGTATTTTTGTTAAATTACAAAGTATCTGGTCTTTGCAAATTTGTAGATTAAGATATATGTGAGGACTGATATTAGGCATATACGTAGCCTCTAGTTATAATAAGAATTTTCGATTGCAGATCACAATTGTATTTAAACTAAGAATTTATAGAGTAATTTCAGCCTACCAATATTTCTCAACAGCCTCTTATATACCAGAAGTGATATAGTAACCATGTTTCAGTGATTGTAAAGTTTTTGTTTTTGTGATTTACATGCCAGTTTGATAGCTGCTGTGAAATACTATGTAATTCAAGAATACTTTCATGTTCTTGGACATCTGTTAGATTCTGTTTAATTTATTAGAAATAATGTAAAAATAAAGAGAACTGGAAACAATGATTAATTGCTCAAAAGAATGTGCATCAGTATCTCTAAATATAGTTAAATTTTGATTTAGTTAAGTCTACAAAAAATATAATTTTGTTAACTCTATTGAGCTAAAAAAAAAAACTCTAAAACAATTTTCTTTTCAATAAATAATAAGCTTCAGATTAAGGTTTACTTCTAATGTTGGTGCAAAGCTACACAAGGGCTATCTGAGCTAGCCATTCCTGATTTTGAATTGAAAGATTGGAGGATAAGTAGTTAGTGAACTCTTGGAATATTCTAATAAATATAGGATTTAATCATCACTCATATAATGCACCAATGCTCTAAAGAATGGAGCATGATATTATTTTCAGTAAAGGAACAAAATCTATGGATATTTGTATACATAGTCCTGCATACTAACTACTAGGCCACATTTGCCCAATGAGATGAAAGAGTATCATCTTTTTTAGGTATTCAATTTGTTAGTTTAAGATCAGCACTCACCGGCTCCAGGTTCAGGTGATCGAGACTTCTGGACTGGTTTAAACCCAGGGGTATCATACAATATATGTAGGAGTTCTACACCTACACCATCATCATTGGATATTTCAGCTTCCCTGCCATCAGATGGAGCTGGTTTTGCAGCAGGGAGTGTCTGTGAATTTCCTGGTGTAAAGTTAACTTGATGCTGGTTGTAAGGATATGTTGTTCCATATATCATGGTAGAAGAGATCACTTGTTGTGGTGTTGTACCATTCACGACCATCTGCTCACGAGCTTGTTGATGAGCCTTTTTCACAGACACAAAAGGTCTCTCTCTGTCATAAGAAGTATCAGAACGTTGTCTTACCAAAGGTCGGTTGTTAGCCTGCCACTGTTGATATCTAAAGTTATATTTACAAAGCAAGAAAAAAACACATTGGAAATTTTAAATAACGTTCCTTTTTAGGGATTTGAAAGGGTACAACAGACAGGCTGATTTCAACTAGTTTCCATGAGAAAAAATAGTAGTCTAGTTTTATGTTAACATCTCATTTTTTTCAACAAATTGAGTGTGTCAGTCTTATTATAGAGTTGGCATTCTTACATCTTTATTAAAAAAATCTTTTTGTTCAAATTTATTTATACAAGAAAATATTTTATTAATTTTTACATTGTTGAACTTCAGAGACTAGGTGGTAATATATTCTAAATACATACAAAATAATATCTTTTTATACTGCATGATGCATCAGTTATCTATACACAAATGTACAAAACAACACAATGTCTTTTCTATTGTATGATATACGAGTTATTTTTTCTATTGTATGAAACATCAATTGCTCATATATGTACATAACAACACATTCTCTTTTCTGTTGTTTGATGTATCAATTGCTCATATACATACAAAACAATACATTCTCTTTTCTATTATATGAAACATTAATTACTCATACAAAACAATACATTCTATTTTCTATTGTATGAAACATTAATTACTCATACAAAACAATACATTCTATTTTTTATTATATGAAACATTAATTACTCATACAAAACAATACATTCTCTTTTCTATTATATGAAATATCAATTACCCATGTATATACAAACTAACACATTCTTTTTTCTATTATATGAAACATTAATTACTCATACAAAACAACACATTATCTTTTCTATTGTATGAAACATCAATTACTCATGTATATCCCAAATAACACATTCTCTTTTCTACTATAAGATACATTAACTGCTTGTAACTCTTCATGCAACCTGTACAGTTCTATAAATAGAAATAGAATAAATGTTCTTTGAGCTTGAAGGGTAATTTTAAATAAACAAATGGCTACGACATATTTTCTTTCTGATAAATATATAATTAGAGTGACCAAAGCAAAATCATTAGATTACTGTGTCTATCACTTTAGGCTTACACTATAGCTTTAAATAAACAAAAAGCTGTAATAAACTTTCCATCCACTGAGAGTATATAGCAAATCAAAAAAGTATTTTTACCTGCTGCGGGTAATGTCACGGCTACTACTACGAGAAGGGATGATCGGTGAAGATGGTGCGCTGGTTCCCTTACAGATGGGAGGTTTAGCTGTGGTGTAAGATCCTGAAGTTGATGGGGGACTTGTAGTGTGACCATTGTGGGTGTGAACATGGAGTGGCATAGTATAGCTAAAGCTCTGTATAAATAAACTAACACAGTAAGTTCCTTCATGCATGTTCTTAAATATATAAAAAAAAATCACTGATAAAATATATTATCCAATAAAGTAATTTCCATTGAAATACTTAAAACAATTTTAAAATATTTTATTTGTATTATCCTATTAATTCCAAAATGTTTTCAAGGGAACTCACCTTTCCTGGTGAATTTTCTCTAGATGAAGATGAAAAGTCAGATGTTAACATTCCATCATCTAAGATCTGGGTGTTTGAAGATGGACACTTCTTTGTTTGTGTATTTCGTAATTCAGCAATTAGCTGCTGCTCCCTCATCTGCTTGTCTTCCCATCCATGACCTTCTCTTCTTGCTTTTAGTTTAAGCTGTTGTTTTTGAAGCCATGTGAGGGAACTATCATCATATCCTCTAGAGCTATTGAAATGTTTAAATAAAGAATTTTCACTCACATGTACTCACTTATTTATTTATATTTGTTTAGCACTAATTACCTACCTATAACGAAGTTAACTTCATTATATGTTTTCTTCTACCTAAACTATATATTTGAATTGCAATGACAATATTTTTATATTGATAGATTGAATAGAAATAGTACAGAACTATTTTTAAAGAGCGGGTGGTACAAATTAGCTAATATGTAATGGACAATTTTTTTGTACATCTTTGACAATTTAGAGAACTTCATTTTTTACATTCCAGTCTTTTGTTCAATCATCTCTTCACTACTGTGATGCATGATTTTATTATTTTAGTTTCTTAAGCTTCTTTTTTGTACATTTTAGATCAAGGTAAATCTGATGAAAACTGGAGTAATTCATATATAAGGTGAATCTTCTTGCATGTTATACTCTGTTGTTATACATATTATTTTGAATTATATCAGGTTAAACTAGAACAATCTGTGCATAAGACAGTCTTACACTTTACTGTTACATATATTATTTTGTAGTAAACCTGCACGAGCTAGGGTGATTCATGTATTAGACAAAGCTTTCTGCATGTTTAACTTTATTGTTATATAAATTGTTTTGAAGTAAGCTTGCAAAAACTAAAGTAATTCATTTATAAGACAAGGCTTATTGCAAGTTTCAATTTATTGTGTGTACAGGCATGCTGATAATGTTACACTTGTACCTATCAAATATTCTATTAGACAAATATTTTAAAATCAACGGTTTTAACTATATCCATAAAATAAAAACTCACTAGATGGGCTCAGGACTGGAAGATAGGTCTTGCTTAGTACTTGGTAAGATGGGGGATTCTGAAAGAGTTTTTCGTCTGTGTAAAGCAGGACTGTCTGGAGTAATACCATATGAAAAAGGTACACTGGATTTTCTTGCATGATAAGGTATACTATGGTCATCTGATTCATTGGACATTGTTTCAGGAGTCCACTTGGCTGTGGATTTGGCTGAATTTTCCACTGGACATAGAACTTCTTTTGTACCATTAACTTGAATAATACCAGCTGGTGGAGAATAAGACTGGACAAAAGTTGGGTGTGAGGATTTTGGGATTCGTGATTGAGAAACTTTGGAATTTGATAGAGTAGAGTAGTTTGTATAAGTTGGGATGGGTGAATATGTACTTGGATTAAAAGGCAAATTAGAACAAGGCCTGTCAGGAATGCTCTGAATTTCTCGAAGCATTCCATCCAACAATTCATCCAGCTGTGCTTGTTCATCCTTTGCAGAGTAATTTGTGGATTTGAGCTTGTAGTTAGTTTCTATCTCAGGTGTCCGATGGACTTCCACTTCTGTGAAACAAAACACACCATTTCACTAAATTAGATAATGTTCCACGTTCTACAACATTCAGTACTAAGATATTATGTATATATATGTTAAAAGGCTACTAAGAGTAAATCTTATTATTTGATTTGGATAAAACTGAGTACGCATCTTTAAAATTTTTCTGACTCAAAATTTCATACACACAACTAAATACATGGTGCAGGCACGTAAGAACCCCCCCCCCCCATCTCCCAATATTGAAGGATGGGCTCGAATAATTTAACTCAAGAATTCTACCTTATAGGCTTCTACTTTGGTAGCTGAACAGAATTATCACTTTCATTATTTTACTGGTCCCTTGATAAATTTAAGAAATATTACAAATTGCGGAGGCATTTTTTGACGTGAAATTTAAATCTCGCGTGCTGAAGCAACAATAGCTATCAAGGAAGGATTTATGTTATAAAATGACTTAAAAATAACTGATATAATATGCAAAGATAGTGCTACACTATTAGTATATAATATAATAAATTAACTTATTTATGTTCATTTTCTTCTCATTTATATTCTGCTTTGTTATACATTTTAGTTTTAAAGCGATTCAACGGTATGAAATTTATTGAATGCATTTTTTGCCTAAGGTTTGAAAAAATATTGTTACGCCTCTGTGTTCGTTTGTTAATTTTCCATAAAAATTCTTTGCGAAGAAACTTTAGCGATACAAGTCCTTTCTTAAATAAAACTAGTTTATTCTTTCTCAATAAAACTTTGCAATACACTTAATTTCCACAGTCACGCTATAACTTAAACAAATGCTATAATTCACAACGAACGATTCACGTGCTTGAGTCAATTATCCGTCTCTATCTCTGTCCACTATTCAATTCCATTGTTGCCATCACTTCTTGGCGGTCTTATATACAAGAATACCGCACATCTAGTAAACACTCGAGCATTCAAGAACCTTTGAGAATATCATGACGTGTTGCTAGCGTCATGTGACTTCCACTGTCGTAACACTATTTTATTTCTAGTAAGGAAAGTCCTACTCAATCTTTTTTTAAGTAAGCAAAATTCTGTTTTCTTTTCATTGGTATAAAAACTAAATATGTAGAAGTGGTTCAAAGATGGCCAATATCTGTCCCCAGTCATTATTAATGAACAAACTTAGTTAGTGGTTCATACGATTCTCTGAAAACGTCTTGCTGATGAAACAAGAGCAAATCGCGAACAACTGATATTTTGTGTTTGTTGCGAGATTTTTGAAGAGCCTCTTGGGTTGGCACAACTTCCTGACACATCAGCTGAACCCGTTTTTTTTTTTTCAGTGCTTAAAGACTCATTAATAAGAATGAACTTACCCCTTGAAAATGTTTGAAGACAAGACTACGACGGTGTATCTGATTTTCAAGGTCGTATAAAAGGTGTTGCTAAACAAATACAAGATGAGGTATCGGCTGTTTACCTGTACATTGTCTTACCCATTGTTTCAACCTATCTCTTCAATAATTATCAAAATAATAAAAATCGGTACGTGATTATCTGGATTTCGTTGAAGAAAACATTATCTTGATAAAGTGATCCCCTAAGCAACAAGCATTTATAGAAAAATTAAAGGCGGATCACACTAATATTAAAAGATTGTGACCCCTCTGCCCTACAAGATGGGCAGTTCAGACTGCAGCTCTTCAAGCAATACTTGACACATATGCCAGTTTGCATGCAACTTTAGAATCAGTAAGCCAATGTATGCAGGTCTAACAGCTTTAATGGAAAAATTGCAGACACTTTTTGGAATCAACCTATCGATATTTGTTTTTACTTTTGCTGAACAAATGTTTACAACACTGCAATCAAATAATACATCAGCTGAGGATGCATCAATTGTTTATCAATTTCATCGATCGGCACAGAACAAATGAAAAGATTTCTGAGTTCTACCAGCAAATTATCGAGAAATCTAATGAACTTACTGAACAAGGTGTATTGCCACAACATCAATGCATTCCAGCTAAAATCACCAATACACTGATATCGAATTTTACTTCCGTCATCAGTACTTTCAAGTTCTTGAAATATTGAATACAAGTCTAAAGAGGTTATAATTTCTTTGTACAGGTTACTGGCT